CCTAACAAAGAGTATTGTATCGTTAAAAATTATTTTTTTATTTTGTACAAACAAAATAAATATATTGAAAAATATAAAAATAATAAAAAAATATACTTCAGATGTTAATTTAGTATCAAAAACGTAAAATATTTGAGTAGCCCAAGACATAGCCAAAGATTGAAGCGCCACAGCACTGGCGAAAATTTAAATTTGCCGACTGGAATTCTTTCGGATGATTGACTTTCGGAAAATCGACGCTCTACTGTATATATATATATATATAGATAAATTAAATGATATATCTAAATATATAAAATTACTTGTCCTGACTGACTGACTTAGTTACTGATTCATCACCGCCCAGAGCAAACCGCTGAACCTAAACAAGTGAAATTTGGTACACAGTTAGGGTACGTCATGGAAACGCACACTAACTTGTAAGAAGGGATTTTCCGAAATTCCCCAGCAGGGGGAGAGGTAAAGCATTAAGGTTTAACTGGAAAAACGGCTTCCACTGTAATATTTAGATGCGATTTTTTGTTTTTAACTGCGTTTTAGTAGGGTACGCCACGGGAATGCACACTAAAAAGATATTTTTCGAAATTCCCCCGCGGGGGGGAGAGAGAGCATTTCATTTCAGACATTGTTATAAATATTTTTATATATTTCGATTTTTTTAACGAAATGTTCGAACCGTTTTAAATTCGAATTTGTTATCGCACATTGGTTCGATTATAGAATGATTGTAAACGTTCCAGAAAATTGATCAAATCGAAAACAGTTCGTTTGATTCTCGGCAATTACTATAATTACTATGGTTGTTGAAATACTGAATATAAATGGGGTTTGCTTGCAAAACCTTCGCGGGCGAAGTCGAAGGAAACAGCTAGTATATATATAAAGATGTTTGTTTGTTCGCTATACACTCTTAGGCCATTTGACCAATTGCTACAAAACTCGATAGTTACGTTCAAATATTTCTCACCTATATCGTGTCGTACATCCTACTCCAAAATATCGATTGCATTTCTATAAATCAATTAATTTTTATTTACATTCGATTTTCTGAGTTACACGTAGCGCCATCTATTGGCAAAAGTTAACGAAATAATTAACTAAATATAATTATTACAAAAAGGATATAATTTAAAAAATATATATTTTTTACATTTACTGACAACGATATGACGCGAAATAAATGCGCCTTTACGCCATTAATGCGACAGGTAGCACATAGCACGTGCCTGTCTGGAGTGTAGTAGTGTTTTAACCCCTGTACTGTACATCCAGAGCCGGATCATAGCATAGACAAATGTCTAGGGCCCGGTCAAACTGTCTATTTTGAAAAGATTTGTAAATAAGATAGTTTACTTTTCTGTTGGACAACTGTATAATACTGATAAAACTGGTAAAATATTATATTATTTAAATATTAACCAAAAAAGTTAAATTAAACAAGTAAAACGGCAAAACAGTATTTAGGACACGACTATATCTCCGAGACACTACTAAGCTATTTCGACTTATATCTCCGAGACACTACTAAGAATCACTTTGACGCTCAAAGCGGATCTGGTTCTCATTCTCCAATTTTCTTCGGTATTGCTGCTTTTGGGCGCGATCGTTCAAACTTCGCTAGCCACGATGCATTTTTGATGAAATTAACCTATCCAATTTCGAAATTTTTCTCCGTTGCGCGTTGGCCAGGGTTGAATTTTTGTCGATGCCTAACGAAAATTTCCCGTCTTTGAAAAAAATAATCGTGGCTATTGTATCGTCTGAAATTATTTTTTTTTTTTATTTTGCACAAACATTATACAGTTTAACCCGATTATAACGTCAAATTTTTATCGGTTCCACGATTTTACTATACCAGATAATGTTAAGAAACCTACTTGTAACGACATAAAACCCTGTTTTAATGTCATATTTGAAGCACTCCCAAATTCACAAAATAAGATTACAAATTTTATTTAACAAANTCATTGTGAGAGTTGGAGAAAAGGAGGATGGAAACTGTGGCTGTGTTACAAGAAATGAAAAAGAAGCTAACGTGTCAAATTAGTAGAATATGAACAGCTGTACATTATGAAATTTTTTTTTTTTTTTTTTGAGAAGAAACCCCAAAGAAAATGAACGTGGAGAAGTGTAAATGGAAGTATTAATGGAATTGACTACCTTGTATCAAACAAGAAATTTACAAATACATCTTAAATGCAAAACCAAATGATTGCCGAATTGTATTGGACTATATTACTACTATTATATCATTAATTAAATGCTATGTAATTTGGTACTAGAGGCGGGTGTCGGATACCATCTCTTGCTAAATTTAATAATTAACTTAGAATAATCGTGAAGAAAAGAATTGGCCTGAAGTGGGACTTAAAACTGCAACTCCCACTTACCTTGTGGTTGTGTTCCAGATAATTATATTACTTGCTTCTTTGTCTGATTTGTACTTTTGGAACTTAATTTGGATATAATTGTACTCGGTTACTTACGGCACTGTATGGAGATATGCAAGATTGTCCAATATAATAGTGTAATCTTTTGGCTTTAATATATATGTTTAATAAGATGTTTATATCTGTACATATATGCCATGCCAGGGTAGATGTGATAACTGGCTGAGTGACATAGTGGGAGTTGGCTCTAGATGCTGAGTCATCCCCAGCTGGTGTTGTAAATAACAATATGGTAGTAGTAGTAACATAGCCCCATACTGTAATCTGGAAATTGGCTTTAAACAAGAAATTTGTAATCTGTAACTGCAAAGTTCTTAACAACTTTAATACAGACAATGATCATAGAATGTTGAGATGCAAAATGCTATTGAACATAAAACTTGAAAGGATGAAGCTCATTGACAGAAGATGGCATCATACTATATACCAGATATGTTGATGCTTTAATTATTTGGAACTGCAAACCATCGCTCCATGAATTTCTGATGACCATCAACAATAATTCATATGGTTTACTGCTCTGTTTTGAATAAAAATGCACCTTTCGAGTAGATTTCGTAGATATCCTAATTACCATATGCAATGGATCTCTCGTGAATAATGTCTACAAGAAGAATACGTAAAATCCCTTATTCATTCTACCAAAAGCCCACAATTCATTTGCTTACAAGATAACATCGTTTAGAACACTTATAGAAAGGACTTTTATTCATTGTTCTGATACACATTTCAAGTACAATGAATTTCACTGTATTAAGCACATTGCCACTACCCTAGGTTATTTGACAGATTTCATCAAGGGCCTCATCCGGCATTAGAGAGGTTGCGGCCCAAGTCAAAACTTCAAACTTGTATGGCAAGTAGAAGTACATCTCTGATGTCTGAACTCCAAGCAATGTTACAAGTTTAACCCAGAACACAGAAAAATGCAGATGTTTAAGCTGAACTTCTAGGTTTCTAAGATGGCAGCACTAGATGTTCAGTGTTCATGTTTTACAGATGAAAACTTCAACCGTAACCTCTATTATCTTACATCAGACAATTCTACTGAGAGCAACAACCTAGCCCAAGCCAATAATACTTAATGACGTGTATAAACAGCAAAAGGTATAAATAAGTGATAAATTTACATAGTCATTGATGGCGTAAGTTCATAGTGAATGCAATTCTTGCGATGTAAGTTGATATTTGTTGGTTATAATTGTAATCTTTCTAAAAATCTATTAATTTATTGTAATTTGATTTTAGACAGAAAAATGAATTTATGTAAATTGGAAATTGTAAAATTTGAAAATATAAATCTTGTATACAAGTGATTAGGATACGTCCTTACTGTAAGTTTTTAAAAAATGATTTTATTGTGGGGAATTTTTTATACAAATTGTCTTATTTGTTTATTTAATTATTTTTAGTTGTTTTCGGTAATCCTGCTGATGAGGGATATGTTTACCCGAAAGACGTACGTATATGTGTACAGAAAAAATTACTACTACAGGTGAATTTTAATAAAAGTTTTATTTCTCTGATCTAACTGTCAATTTTGTATCAATTATTAAACACCAGTGTAACGTCCTACTAATAAGCTATGTCCGAGTAGACAGTTAGAGATTAAATTAGAAATAAGGATAGCAAGGCATTGTTAATTAAGTTTTTAGTTGAAATAACCTTAAATAAAATTGAATCATATTTTTAACTTATTTAATTTAAAAGATGATCTCGATTTTAATAGCATCTTGCCCCTGTACATGACACTTTACCTGTTAACAACAGAATCATACTTGTCGTCTAGCTCCGTTCTCGAGATTAACGAAGGACAGACAGACAGATGTCAATGGAAACTTAAGAAAAGAGAATATAATAGCGATGAATTATAATATTAAAACTAGATTATTGTGACATTTTCACAATCCAATTTTTAATTTAAAAATAATTATTACTTTTGACACTGAGACTGTTATAACTTCTTCTCTGTGTTGACTTTGTTTTTCACGTGACTTTTATCACAGAAAATGTGAATTCACTTGTGTATTGTACACCTTAGACGGTCCAGTGAAATATTATTGATCTCAGTTTTTCGTAAGGATCAATTCTATACAAAACTCTTCGCTCTTTGTAGTAAGGTAAAATCGTATTTATCGCTTTATGTAGTAAAGTAAAAAGTTTGAATTGAAATCACATGACTTCGGAAGTTTATATATAGTTAATCCGTAATCCGTTCATATAAAGCTGTCGATTTTAACCTATCTCACTCTTTTCTCGAGATTAAAGAAGGACAGACCGACAGACAGATGAACGACAAAGGGAAGATATAGGTCTGTAATTTGAAAATTGCAGCACAATAACTTTATTACATGTTAGTTTAAGCCATGAGATTGGTTTTCTCCATAAATTTCGAACCATTTATCAATATATGAAAGATTTTCTACACGTTTATTTTAATTACAACAGTAGATTTTAAGAGTGTAAAATTAAATTTTAAATTATACTTTACTATTTTTATCCATTGAATTACTTTTAATACATATTTTTATTTTCTGTTTCTTTAAATAGAACATCTGCCGCTGTAGAGAGTGGGTTACTGATAAAATGGAAGAAAAACATCATTGATAAACTGCCTAAGAAGGAAAAGGATTTGAATACAATTAGACCACTTAACCTTTTAGATTTACAAGGAGGTTTCATCCTCCTCTTTTTGGGTTATGCTATAGGAATTGTATGTTTAATTATTGAGTTAATAATCGATTTTTTCCTAAGATGTAGAAAGAAAAAGAAAGTTAAAGTTATCCCTTTCTCACATTACGAACGAATTTATTACTAATTGAATGCGAGTTAATTAATCAATATTTACAATATANATGTTCGAATTTAATTCGAACAAATTCGAACAAAACATTCGAAATAGAAAGCCACTTTCAACCACTTTCAGCCTCATATCTCTTTCACCCTTATAGCTATCGAGACGCAACCACCCCTATGCACGAATGGAGACTTGGGGCTACAACCACATACAAACAAGTTCGGTAGGATTCTTATTTTCGATGTGTAGTTTACTGTACATATTTTATTATACATTAATCTTTTAACGGACATAGATTGATAATAATAGTAATAATGAGAGATTATTTATTGAAATCATCACAGTGCTAGGCTGCAATTTTTAATTTATTTCATTTAAAATTATGTTCTCCACGTCAAATTAGTAGTACCCTGCTCCTATACATAATACTTTTCCTTTAACAATACTTGTGCCGATCATCTTTTAACTGCTTTCAAAGGAAAATATTTGAATTGAAATAACGTGACTTCCGTTGAAAACCGGAAGTCACGTTATTTCAATTCAAATATTTATAGTCAATCGGGGTCTACTACTCCTACGGTTTCAATATCTAGTTTCGGATTTTATCTATCTAATTCCGTTTTCGAGTTTAANGTACTCTCACCACCTGACTTCGGTTTGCCTGTTTGTAGAGAGAGTCGCTATTTTGTATTTTACTTTGACTCGGTTCTCGGTCCCCTGAGTACCTGCAAGTCTGGATTTTTTTTATGCGCGCATGATTTGGGCACTTAATACTCTGTGCCAAATTGCAACTCCTGACATTCCCTTCTGCATGCGCTAATTTTTCTGTTTGAGGTCTGTTTCTACTCAAACATTTCATGCTAGTGAGTGAGTGATGCCAATCTAGTTTTATTATATCGACATTTTAAATACAGTTCATAAATAATTATTAATTTTTTTTTTACTTTAAGATCTGTATTTTTAATTATATTTTACTATTACAATAGGAGATTAATCATTTAGGCTCATATACAAAAGAAAATAAGCCATTTAAAATATTACACATTTTTTAAGTGAATGAATGAGTAATAAATTATAAGTATGAATGACATATTAATCATATAGTATATTTTATAACAATCGTGAGAAGCAAATATTTATAAAGAATTATGTATGTACATATAGTATATTACTATTTAGTAATTAGAAAACGTATAAAAATCTACATATAGACTTTAAACAATGTGAATTTTTAATGTCAAAATTTTAAAAATTGCGCGTAAAAATTTTTCGATTTCGATTTGTATTTTTTTGCATTTAAATTCTTATTAGGCTGCAATTTTCAAAAATTACAGACCTATAAATTTCCGCGGGTGTCTCTGTCATTGTTTGTTTTTCCTTAATCTCGAGAAAGGAGTTAGATAGATGAAAGTGGAGACCAGATATTAAAGCTTTAGAGCCAGAGGAAGTGACTTTCTATATCTGGTCGTGATTTTCATCTATCTAACTCCGTTCTCGAGATTAACAGACTGACAGATATGACCTGCGTCAGTTGATAATGCAGTTTTGCTATTGCAACACGTGGTCGACAGAGAAGGATCCTACATTCAGCACATTCTGTGAATGTGTAAAACGTAATTTGTTTTTGAAATTTTGTTCATTTGTTTTATGATTATCGTCTTTCAGCACCACATTTTCTTCTTGTGGTGAAAATTTTAACTATTTTTTTTCCTCGTAAATCTCTTTGCCGTGATCTGCATTGCATATATTTACTGCACAGAGTTTCATTCGATTCGATTCAGTAGACCCGGCTCCATGCATGTCTACCGTCAGTTTAATGAACGGTAAGTTATAAAGTAGTTAATAAATCATTTATTATATTGAAATAAAGCTTTCATTTATTATTTATGTGTTGAACTGATTTATATCTTATTTTATTTAGCACACTTCAAAATAAACTTAAGTTAAATTTAATCTCTGACTGCCTACTCGGACATAGCTTATTAATAGGACGTTACACTGGTGTTTAATAATTGATACAAAATTGACAGTTAGATCAGAAAAATAAAACTTTTATTAAAATTCACCTGTAGTAGTAATTTTTTCTGTACACATATACGTACGTGTTTCGGGTAAACATACCTCTCATCAGCAGTATTACCACTTAACACTAAAAGTAACAACAACAAACAGATAAGTTACTGTATAATTTAAAAATTTTTCCTTTAACAATAAATTACAATTTTAAAACTTACTGTAAATACATATTCCAATCCAGGATATAAATGGATCTTTCACATTTTTTACAATTAATCATTTCACTATATAAATTAAAATCTTATTAAAAACAGAAATTATTACTACAGGTGATATAATAAAGAAATTTTGTTCTTTCCTGAACTAACTCTCAGTACTGTGCCGATCTTTAGACACCAGTCCTATTAATAAGTAAAGTCCAAGTAGACAATTAACAATAAAATAATGCAATCTGAACTTCATCACATCTTTGAAAACCTGTTATCTAATCATTAATATATTAATAACATCATTTACATTATAATATTTAAAAAATGCATACTAAATATTTTAGATGTTGGTCTCATAAATCTTTAAAAATCAAACAACGAATTATATTGCCATATTATTTTATCATTAGAACTAGGAACATCTAGCACTAAAAATCATATAAGTTATAACCTATAACTCATATGACTTTTAGAACTATTTATATGATTTTTAGTGCCTAGATACTGTAGCCTTATTTATTATTTATAATAATAATAATAATAAAATTTAAAATACTATTTATTTAGTGACTTGGTTAATTATATTTTTGTTCCTCAGAAGATTCAAAATGTTTCTTAATGTCTTATGACTAGTGGGTCCAGTTTGTCTTTCTCAAAAGAAAATCTAGAAATGAAGATAGATGAAGCATGCTAGCATATCATCATTTTTAAAAAATTTTTTTAGTAGAAATGTTAGATCTATAAAACTATCTTTAAAACATTTGAAAGGGATGCTTTCTATGTGCTATGTTAAGTTAGGAAACATTATTTCTTTAATAATTTAACATGAATTTTACTTTTGAGAAATTGTTGGAATTTGAATCATTTTAACTTATGTCAAACTTTATTAAATGTTTGTTAACTGAAAGGTTTTACTAACAAGGGAACTTACAAGCTTTAACATGAGAAATTATTGTTTAAACTTTTCAGTGTGCATTATCTACCAAGTTCTATAAATTAATTGCAACGAATAGTTGTAAGCAAGTGAGTAAGACAGTAGATTGAAAAGCTTGATGATGTGGTTTGATTCTGCTTTTTCCAACTTTTTACCCACAATTCTTTCTGATGTGTGCAATCCAATCAATTATTAGAAAATATATTTGGCTCAAAAATATCAGTCTTTAATTATCAAAAATTATTTGCATATTTTTAAATCAACATTTATAAGAAAAGTGCTGATTCAATAAAAAAAAATTATTTTAAAATTCTTCAAGGAATTTCATTTTTACTCAATATTATATACTGGTCAATACTTTCCTGCAGTTTTAAGGTTTTGTTTGTAAGAACTGCATGAAAATTGAGTAGTTATTTGCTAGTTTTATATAAAGTGCAGATAAATTTATGTAATTGTTGCTTCTGTAGCTTCTGTTCTATCATTTTCATTATTTCAATTTAGCATAAATTTATTTTTATTACAAATTTATCACAGGAACTTTTCAGGCAAATGGTAAAAAAAAAATATATTAATTTATATGCCTCTGTGTCCTTATTATACAGTTTAGTATGTAAANAATAATTCATTCTTAAGTTCTAAACATGGACACAACTCAAAATGACAAAAAATATTATAACAAATTTGTTTATCCGATTCGTCTATAAACCCCCTTTTTAGAGGCTATCAAAATAAACGATTATATCCGGCAAATATTGCTAATTTTAGCTTTATATTAAACAAATATTATATTATTTATTCGTAAACTAGATTTTAATTAATTTATGTAAAAAGCAGGAAAATTATTTAAAAATACCGCAAGGTTTTCTTGCCTGATCTACACAGTTTAGAAGTTAAGTTAAATAATTTTAAATTATATACAATAAAACTATAATTATCGTTTCTAATTTAAAGTAAGTTAATTATAAATAATATATAAAAATGCATTATCATCAGAGTTTTAATAGGAAGATCATTGTATATATTATTCGCATGGATGATTATTGTCAGTTACTTTAAGGCTATAAGCCTTAAAAGTAACTGACAATAATCATCCATGTTAATTGAAGACCTTGGGCTTCTCATAGACATCCTGTATCAACCTCTATTTTAGAACTTTACGATGATTTTTCTCAAAAACTCTCAAAAAAGATGAGTTGACATGTTCTTGCCACAATTATTTTTAAATATGTAAATTTATTTAAAAATTTCAATAATATCCTACATTAAGATAACCACTTCAATAGTTTACAATGGTAATTATTTTGCTAGACAATTGTTAAATTTATGTGTAAAAAATATATCTTTCGACTATATTCAGCAATTTTTGTACATGTATATCTGATGAGAAATTAAATCGAAATATTTTTCTGGCAAGAATTACGGGTTGTATGGTTCAGAATTTAATCTAACGATTGTTTATTCGATTATTAGACACAAATAATAAGTACATATTTTACTGCTAACATAATAAAGACTGTAAAAATAATTTTTTTTTCTGTTAATTGACGGATTTCATTAGTAAAATTTCTAATAAAATAGTGAAGGCTACGTTAGACTTAAATAAATCATAATTTATATTGAAAACAAGTAAAACGGCAAAACTGTATTTGGGACAAGACTATGTCTCGGAGACTCACTACTAAGCGGAATCACTGACGCTCAATGCGGGTCTCGTTCTCATTATAGAATCTTTTTGGTATCGCTGCTTTTGGGCGCGATCGTTCAAACTTCGCCGGCCACGACCACGAGGTCGTCCACGATGTATTTTCGATGAAATTAACCTATGAAATTTCGAAATTTCTCTCCGTTGCGTGTCGGCCCGGGTTGAATTTTTGTCGATGCGTAACGAAAATTTCCCGTATTTGAAAAAAATAATCTTGGCTACTGTATCGTCCGAAATTATTTTTTTTTATTTTGCACAAAAAATATACAGTTTAACCCGATTATAACGTCGTCGGACCTAACGACAACCCTAATATAACGTCAACTTTTTATCGGTCCTACGATTTTACTATATTAGATAATGTTAAAAAAAAACCCACTTGTAATGACATAAAACCGTTTTAACGCCATATTTGAAGCACTCCCAAATTTACAAAATTAGATTACAAATTTTATTTAACATAGAAGAAACTACGTGTTCGGTCCTAAGGTCAGAGTTCATTTCTTACAATGATTGCGGGTGGTATTCTCCCCACCTGACTTCGGTGGAGTGAGGTGGCTGTTTTGCCTGTTTGTAGAAGAGGGTCGCCATTTTGTATTTTATTTTGACTCGGTTCTCGGTCCCCCGACTACCTACGAGTCTGGAGTTTTTTTGCGCAAATGATTTGGGCACCTAATACTATGTGCCAAATATCAACTCTCGACATGTACTGTACTCCGTCAAACCTCTATGCTGGTAATATAAAACGGCAGTACGATTTTATAAACAAGACATAATCTTGTCAATAATGATGTTTCCCCCTATTTTTAAGGAAAAGTTGTGTATTTCTTTACAAACATCAGTATTATGTTAGCAGTAAAATATGTACTTATTATTTGTGTCTATAAATTTTGAACAATGAAAAATAATTATTCATTTTGATCAATGAGAATTTTTTAAAAAAACGTGATTTTTATATACAGCGGACTTTCGATAACTCGAAGCGAAACGGAGAAAAAGTTTTCGAGTTATTAAAATTTTGATTTATGGATACTACGAATTATTTCACATATCTTCAATGGCCGGGTGAATAAAACTATTGAATACTGGCAGTCGGTCGCGTGGTTTCCGCCTCACCGACAGGCCGGCTACATGGAATTTTCCGAGATTTTTTTATGTGTGTAATGCCTAAATACGGGCTAATTTTCCATAGAAAGTCCTCCCGGAATACATCTCCTCTTGACAGATCGTCCATGTGTTGTGTTGCCATAACCTACCGAAACCAAATCTATCACATTTATTGATTGAGTTCTGAAAATTTTAAAAATAAGTTCGAAAGCATCCTGTTTTTAGAGATGATATACTTTCTATAAAGTCCCTTGAAAGCCTTTCTGCCATTATTAAAAGCCAGAAAGTATTTTGGATTGAAAGCCTGATAATGATGGCCAAAGTGCCAAACGGATGCCGAGGGAATAAAAACTATTGAACACTGGTCCTAGATTTGCGCATCGCCAAGGTGGAAGTTTTTTGGTTATTCTTCACGTTTATAACACTTAAATAGAGGTCATCTCAGGAGGCATCCTCCCTATGCAAATTGCCCACGCTTCGCTTTGCCGTTTACAAACAAATCAAACTACTAAGGTGGCAGTCTACCGCTCTGGAGACCTGTGATTGACTGCAGACGGCCCGAAAAGTCCTAGGAATTATTCGGGAGGTGGTTCATCCGGATACATTGGGCCTCGTTCTTTACTACTCGGACGCCCCATTTGAGGATCTGCGCGAACTTGGATATAATAAAGGATTTGATAAAAGGCACTCTTAGTATCCACGGAGCGGAAAAAGTAAAATAAAAAAGACATGGGTTGACGGATTCAGATAGAAATTTCAATTTATTCAGTGTCAACAAGTTTTCTGTCGTCAGAATTATTCTTTTCTTGCAGAAGTATGCTTTTCTGATCTGTTTGATTTTGTTGATTATTGAAACTTTCTAAAATCCTTTTCTTGTTTTTTAGAAAGTGCTCAATAGAATGTCAAGTAGGCCTACTTTCCCAATTTCTCATTTTTCGTTTGGCTTTCGTCCACGGTCTATATGGCAAATACGTTTTCTGCTATTGACAAAATTTATTTTTCTCTTGTTGGCCATTTCTGTCTACTTCAGAATAAAAATGGTCAATACACTAATTAACCATGCGCTATCAGCTATGTCAACATGCGATTCAAACTTTATATAGTATAGCCTAAATGTTTAGTTCTATATAAACGAACTCGTAAATTTGATTGGCTAATAACTGTGCCAAATCACTGACATGTTCGTTACATTTTTAAATATGAAAGTTAAATAAGTAACTATTTTAAAGCGCTAAGAATTTGATTGGTTAACTTGCGTTTAAAAATAAGATCGTATTTTAATCACGAAACATCGTTAAATCTTTGAATTTACGAGATAATTCGGAGAAAAACTAAAATTCTAGGTAAGAAAGTTCGACGTATCGATGATCTATTGTATTTTTTCGAGATAAGGACATAAATTTTACATATTTTAATAAGCTATTATTCAATCAGTGCGATGGATAAACGTTTCTTATGTTAATTGCACATCTTCACATTTTTAACGAAACTCCCTGTGAAATTCGAAATTTAAGTGTAGCCAATTTAATAGTTTTTTTTTTAGTAAATTTAATAACATTTTTTCTTTTAAACAGACCAGGATTTACATAAAGTAAAATAAGCTTAAAATTCATGCACAGAAAATGTTTTTAATTTCGTATAAAAAATTTTAATAATTGTAAAAAGAAACCGTCTAAAGCAAAATGAATATTTTATGTCTATATAAAGACATATCTGTAAAAATTTCTAAGAAAGTCGAACTACTCAGGTTAAAACAATGGGTGAATGTAAGTCCTAAGATCGAACATCTTCGATAGGGATAAAATTGTCAGTCGGTCTGGGTTCTGATCTTGTTACGTTTCGTAACGAGTGAATAACCAACTAGAAAGGGGGGCAAGTCGACATCGACCTATCGGAATGTTCGATCTGGGACCCGGAAAAAACTTATAAAAACCGCGCTAAAAAGGATGTGACGTTCTTGGTTCTTACTTCGGTGTGCTCCGCTCCTGGATTTTTCCTGCGGTTCAACAACGGAAACTTGGTCGTCGTTCCGGAAGAAGTTTTCGCCATCCCGTCCCTGCAAGTTTCGCCAAGTGTAACCTGCTACGAGAATCACCCCTTCAAGTTGTCCTGTGAGCCCCGGAGCCTACGTTTTCCTCGTCATCTTCGCCAGAAGGAGAGAACATCGTCGAAAAGATTGAACATTATTTACGAACTGGTTCACGCTGCGGATAGGCCTTACGCCGAAGTAAAACAGTAGTTGTAAGCGAAATTTTTATATTTAATAAACAGTTTGCGATGGAGGACCTGTCTCAGTAAGTTTTTCCACTCCCACGCGACAGTGCTGACCGCTCGATTGTCGTGACAATTTCTCCCCAATCGGCAAACCTCACATTACGCGGAGGTTCATCTGTTCTGAAAAAGGAAGGCCTCTTGCAGGTGTAGTGTAGGTCAAATCCGGCTTTGATTTTGCATTAATGTCTAAAGGCATATTAAAACACAATTCAAAAATACTAAAAATTGTTTATTTTTACAAATGCTTTCCATACATATCAATATACGAAAAGTATTCTATCAAAATTACATCTATTTACTGAAGCGAAATTAGTGAGAGAACAACAGATAATACATTTATTATAGCAATTTTTTAAAGATGAAACAAATTTCGAAAAGAAATCATTGAGAAATTAATGATATGCTCGGATGATTGTGGTCATAGCTCTAACAAAAAAGGAGTTGTTTTTTTCAGCAGTGGCATTTCTACTCAATAAATCCATGCAGAGATTGCCAGAAGGATTATATGCTGCACACAGATTACGGATGTAATTGCCATTCATCATTTGTATACTTTTCTTAACTACGGGGAAAGATTCTCTTCCGCAAGCAGCCTCCAAATGGTTAAAGAAACACTCGTAAAATTGATTAAAGTAACTAAAAGAAAAGAAAAGAAAGTTTAATAAACTAAATAGCCATTAAGTATATTTGAATGTACTGTAGTTACCAGCAGCCTGTTGGTACTCGTATTTCCGGATCGTTTCCTGTTACGTGATACATAATAGTTTCTAGATTATTCAGACAGTTATGTCGAGCATTTGCAAAAGCAGTCGCCATGCATGGGCCGTATTTCAAGAATTCTGTAAAAAAAAATATGTATTTTTTAATGAATGCTATTAAAAACCGATTAGTTTGCATTTATTAATATATGTTTGCACATTTACCTGTCTGAAATTTGCTACCTTTCTGGCAAAATTCGTTTGTAACCATTCTCTGATTATCAGTCATCAAGTCAAAGATGAGATGATGCTCTTCAGCCGTACAAGTATCCATGAAGTTATCGATACATTTCCACATAGCATCTAAACGACTGCAATAATCAATAGAGTAAGGAATTAAATTTAAATTCTATTATTTAACTGTTTTTTAATTATTATTATTATTATTAATTAAAACTTACACGCATCTGCTGTCCAGTGCTTTTTGATCTTTTGGTACTAGACCTTTTCTGGCAGTCAAAAATACTGGTGCCAAACATAAATCAATTTGTTCGGTGTTACATTCGTCTTGCAGGCTTCCCATTACAACTAAAAAATTAGAGAAAAATGAATAATTTTATAAAAATGCAACGTTAAGAATCATATTTAAGTGGAAAAATACTTACGGAATGTCAAACAAATCAAAAAAATACACAGTCCCTTCATATTTATTGATGACTGTAACCAGAGAAGAGCAGTAATTGAAATTTGAAGGTGTAAACTTTCAATTTATATAAATTCAAAAGTTTCCTTATACTATAAATCAAAATTAAGGATTAACATATATCAAGTGAACAATAGTTCGAATATAATGAAAGAATAATAAAATAATTTGCGTGTTAAACAATAATAATAGAGTTTCGAAATGTCAAAATGGAGAAATGACGTAAGAGAAAGCACAGTGGAGCTAAGTAATAAGTAGTATAATATAATAACTGAATTGTTCCAAATTAGTCAGGAGAAAACAAATAATATAATCTGTGATTATAGAATCTCTCTCTTAACTAAAATCTGAATGTTTTTGGTTTGGCATACTTTAATGAGATATAGCAACGTGGCACACGGGCCTAACATTTCCTGGAGATCTGCCAGGTATAATGTTCCGGCAGGATATTTCAATGGAAAACTGGCCTCATTTAGTTGTTAGGCACGTGAAGAAAAACAGGAAAACTCCATTTTCCTTGATCACGCGCAAACTCACACCAACTGTCAATGGCATCGCAGCACTTCTTCAATCTGCTTAGGGAATTGACTTTCGGGAGGTTTTTAAGGGTAACTAGTCCCTACTTAGGCTTGACAGACGTAGAGCAAACCCGGAAAATTCCACGTGGCCAGGCCGTTTTGACGAGGCTTTAAACCCACAACCGAACTCCCAGTATTCAGGGAACGGAACCGCTTGGCCACTGCTAGGCCCTTTCTAGTTCTTTAAATTTTTGTATTGATGAATGTGAAATCCAAGCTCACAAATATTATGTTGAAAACTTACAAAATTTCAGCGTCTTGTGTTGAGGCTGGTTATTCGGATTGGAGAAAAATCCAAAATTCCTCAAGAGTTACGTCAGAGAATTTCATTTTTTATTGTATCATCCGTTGACAAGTTATTTTCTTGTATCGAAAATTTACGATGTATTAACTGCACCGAATTGATTTCGTGTCCGATCATAATTTTCTATATTTAGGAAGGAAAGTAACTTGCAATCTTTTCTTCCAATAGAAATAAATGTTCTGTTAGAATAAAAATAATTCTATCAGTGTTTTTATTATGAATCTTTTCTGATGTGTGATTTTTCAAAAGAGATGCTTTTTCTGAAATGCTTGCTACGTTTGTCAGTGGATACCAAAATATTCTCATGTTTTCCTTGGATATTTGTATTAAGCTATTTAAATAATTAAAAATATCGGCTGAGTATGCCATTTTAACAAATCAAATATCATTTTTAAGACATTTTATATAGAAGCGTTTATAACCTCATTTTAGAAAAAGACCAATAATTCATTCTTAAGTTCTAAACATGGACACAACTCAAAATGACAAAAAATATTATAACAAATTTGTTTATCCGATTCGTCTATAAACCCCCTTTTTAGAGGCTATCAAAATAAACGATTATATCCGGCAAATATTGCTAATTTTAGCTTTATATTAAACAAATATTATATTATTTATTCGTAAACTAGATTTTAATTAATTTATGTAAAAAGCAGGAAAATTATTTAAAAATACCGCAAGGTTTTCTTGCCTGATCTACACAGTTTAGAACACAATAATCGACCTGAATTGTTCCTATTGTACTGTACAACGTTATTGGATTCGATTCTCAAGTTTATTTCGCAAATTCATGTACGAATTGCATATCATATTTATTACTTCGAAATATAATAGAAGGTATAATATGAGAAAGAAGGTTTTAATATATATACGATGAGATGTTTCTCGTATCTATATTTCTTTCTTTATACTGCAACAAACGAAATATATTTTGCATATTTATACAAAAATAAATATAAATATGTATATAAATAATATATTTATTTAAAATATATATAATAAATATATAAAATAATATATATTTAAAATGTATTTTATATATAAATATAAAAACTTTTATATTAAACAATAATTTTACTAGCTTTCTAACAATTTGAAACCTTCGTGATTAAACAAGGAATTTCCGTTTTTTGACATATTTATTGCTTGTTTGTTGTTGGTAGACACACAAAATGAAATTTATACTAGTTACTTCTGTTCTCTCTGCATTCATAGAAGCTTATTACTGTAGCTTTGGCACATGCACGTTTTTCACGTGCACAATTACAACAATATCCACACGCATTTGCACTTGCAGGCCGCATGTGCATGCATTTAATTAACAAGTCGTATCCTTTTAATTGTGCAATATCTATGGTGTCTCTTAGGCAACCAGACATAAGCAAGATAGATAATAAAGTCATTGTCTTAAGAAGCACGTTGATTTAATTATTTATTTATTAATATTTATAATATAATAAAAATATAAAATCAGTTAAAATTTATAAATTAAAACCCGTATGTAAGCGCGACCGTTTGTTTCTTCAGTCCATTGTCTAGAAGCAAATGATAAAGTGTTGTTATTACTCAGTCGTTTGGAATTTACAAAAATGTATCCTAATATACAAACATATATAAGTTACACGAAGCATATTACAGTTATCTGCTACATCTAACAAAGGAACAATAGCGAGTTATTTAAATTAAATTTCCAAATTTTGCATAAATCTGTCAAAAACGCAAAGAATTATGCTTAAGGACGAGAAGGTAATTACGGAAATTTTATACTTTTAAAAGAAAATTAATAAGATTTAATAAGGATTAACAAATATTAAAAAAGCTGGAAAAGTTAACGAATAATATAAAAATTACTGCTGTAAGTAATGATTATATTTTCAACGTCATTACTCTTCGATACAAAGAAAGAAATAACGTATTGCTTATAATATAATTGAAAATAAACAATTTTTCATTCTTGATTTCTAGCAAGGACACTTTTTTTTGTTCATATATTCTATCAAGTTAGATTTACTTTTCAATAACTGTATGGAAAAAATGTCTGTGTTTTCTGTTTTTTAAATTTTAAATATATTATGTATTTATTAACACGCAAACACTTCTTTAAACCAGCACAGTATTCGTTCTCTTTTACAATTTACAAAAATTCTAATTAAAAACATTTAATTATATTTTTAAAATTAATTTTTAATATTTTTACCTGAACACCATTTACAGTATGTACTGTACCACGTACTGTACTGTACATGCTAGAATAAAGATTGTTCTCATGAAATAAAGACGCGTGTCTCTGGTGCTCACTTAAAATAAATTACGTTACATTCAAACCCCAAGTCAAAATCACAACAAATACATTACACCGCATCAAAAATTCGTGAAACCGTACGTTTCTTCTGATGTACTGTACATTAGTACGATGCACAAAAATATACAATACTAATTCTGAATAAAGTAATACACCGCTACAAATGAGTTGACAAAACTGTTCATTTTTCTGAAATAAATAGTATTCGTGAATTTCAGAAAATTGCGTATAGGTAAACTTTAAAACAAAAACGGCCAGACGTAAAGGACAAATTTGGCGCTGCCGTCTTCTTAGTGTGCATATTCATATTATGTACGGTACATTTTCTAACCAATTTCGGGATAAAGAATCACAAAACGTTGTTCGCAGTTTTTCAAAGGTGAACAGTTTATAATTGTCACTTTTAACTTGGTGCACCGTCACGTATCTGCTTAAACGTTTTGTTTCTTAACTCCCGAAATTCCTTGTTAGAAAATCTACAGTATAAGTACTTAACACGCAAATTAAGGAAACAACAGCACCAAATTTTTCTCTAGCCGCTGAATTTTTAAGTAAAATACTCTTCCTCAAATCGAAACCAGAGTATTTGGTTGAAATTTGCCCAATGTTTCTTTTTACAGAGAGCTATGAAACACCTGCTACTAAATTATGATCACTCTGTACCAGTATATTTTGAATAACGAATACATAATAATTAAAATAAATAATTAATGAAATAAATCAATAGTTTACGCGTTTCTGATAAGCAACGTATATTAAAATAGTAGTAGTAGTTTCTCCAGTGCTAATTAGCATACCGGGCAGCAATTATCTTCCATCGATTTCGATCATGTACGAGAGTTTCAGCTTCCTCTCAAGTCATATTGAGCATCTTTAAATCTTGAAGAAAAGTTCTACGCCATGTATTCCTGGGCGTCCTCGTGGTCGTTTGGCATCAGGGGAAACCCACTTCATGGCTGTCTTAGGGATCCTATTGTTCTCCATACAAAAAATATGGCCGGCCAGTCGGACTCTTGGACATCCCACTCCTTCGGAGAATCTCTTCATTGATGATATGATCTAAATATCGGATCTTTAGGATTTGTCGTAGGCATCTCTGTCGGAAGACATCGAGCCTTCTATTGATGTGTTTTCCTGATGTTCACTAGCGTAAACAGCTATCGGAATCATGATGGAGGTAAAAAGGTGGAATTTTGATTCTCAATTAGATGGGTGGTGAGGACCAGATCTTGTTCATCCGCCAGAAGACTGTCGCCGCTTTTCCGTTGCGGCATTTCGCGTCCATTTCCGCGTCACCATTTTGAGAAATAACACTACCCAAGTAGGACAATCTCCCCACCTCCTCCAATCGTTGTGCTCCGTCAATTACTCCCCGTGTTTGCGTACATGCATAATTTTCGACTTCACGGAGTTTATCCCGAGGCCAATTTTGTGTGCTTCCTGACCCAATGTGGCAGCGACGTGCTGTAACGTTGTCTCGCTTTCCTCTAATAGGTCGATATCGTCAGCAAAAACCAAATCTCCAAGACGATCTTGGTCAAACCAGTGAATTTCGGCCCCAATGCGCGCACTGGACTCTTCTGCCCTCCGCATGACATAATCAAGGGTGATGGGAAAGAGGAAAGGATACAGGACACAACCCTGCTTGACTCCTGTCGTAATTTCAAAGAAATTCGTATGACCACCTTCAGTTTTGACGCAACAACTTGAATAAGACTTTGAAAATAATGACAAAGACTGTCGGTATACCCTATAATCTGCCAGAGGGAGTCGCGGTGAATACTGTCAAAAGCCTTCTTGAAATCAATGAAATTGATGACCAATGGGTGTCGATACTCAACGCATTGTTCAATGATATTTCGAAGGGAGACGATCTACTCGCTGCACGATCTTCCACACCCAGCT